AAAAATTATTTTCATCATATTGATCAAACTATTGAAAATATTAAATATTATCGGCAAGGATATTGTCATATCATCAAACAAAGAAGAAAAGCACGCAATGAAACAGCGTATTTTTATTTTATTCAGTTAGGCTGTATATACAAAAAAACTGCTCTGTAACGCATTCTTAATCCTCCCAGCCATAACATTACACTTTTCAACATTTTATACAAACTCGTCAGCTTCAGTTGCTTCCGTTGTTTCTTCGCTACTACTACTACTACTATCATCAGTTGTAACTTCAAGTTCATTGTTGGGAGTGGTTGACCCTTCTCTTAGGCACCTGAACTTGTAGTTTAATACTCCAAGCTGGAAAACAAAAACTCACTAATATCACATTATGATACAAAAAATATTTTTTCTTGATAATAGTTCATTAGTACTCAAAAAATAAGTCACCAAAAATATCAATAAAACTAAATGTATTTAATGGATTTGAGCAAAGTTGGTGAGTAACATTTTTGTCGACAGACAAGATCAACAAACTAAAAGATACAGCCAATAAAAGAGAGAAAAAGTATAAATTACACGTATGATATTTTCAATTTAAACATTTTAATAAAACTGACTTTAAACATGTTCATTGGAAACATTTATCCAACAAAAAGTAAGATGCATACTAAGCCCCCCTGATCGTGGTTAGTGTGGCCGGCAACCAAACTCTGAGCCTGGGTTCAAACCCGAAGAAAACGTAGATGTTTTTAAATATAATTTCTTTGCAGCACATTAAATACTGGCGAATCAGAAATCCCATTCAAAGGAAGGTGGTAGGGAAAGAGAGAGCAGGACATCTTAGATCTCCTTAAATTAGGGACGAAACTGTGCAAAATCGGCTTGTCACCTGTAAGTGCCCAAGGCCTTGACTAATGGCATGCGTTTTACCCTTCCTTTTAGTCGTGGTGAATTTGTGGATCTAATCTTGATTATTCTGACATCAGGTGATTAGTAACTGAAATGCACCCTCAAAAACGGTGTTTCAAGCTTTTAATGGAATCTTCAAAACACGTGTCATAAATCTTAGAAATATTGGAAGACGAATTACAGATAGGAGTGGCACTTGATAAAAATACGATCTATAATCTGTCTCCCTAATACATATACTGCGGGGAAAAAAAAAAAAAAAAAAAAAAAAAAAAAAAAAAAAAAAGGACAGTTCTGTATTTTCCGTTCTGCTGGGCCGAATAACAAAATTCAAATTGCGCTTTTCATGTTTTGAAAGCGCGACTTAGGATATATACTTAGGCGAAAGCGCTACTTAAGATATATGGCAACCAATTTTCCTTTTCCTTCCATTATGCCGGAGCGGAAAAAAGGCACATCGTTCCTACCTTTTTACATTGTGTATGAGCGGAAAAAATGTTACATTGTATTTACTTCCAAACAATTTTAGCAAAGTGTTTAAACCACATCTGATGTTTTATAGCTTTCAACAAATATGCCAAATTTCAAAACGCGCCAATGTATAAATTCACGTATATCTTCGGAAATTTTGAATAAAAAAAGTGTACTTTTTTGCAGGTATGCTTAGAAATTCGTCTTCTTTAAGATGATGGTAAAACTTTCATAGCTTATAATTCAATTTTGTTTTTGAAAAATTTATAAAAATTATTTTTAAATACAAATATTTAAAATAAATCATAAAAAGTGGGTGAATTTTATTTGGAATGAACCTGAATTTCGAAATGTGAAAGGAAGAGAATCAAATAAACTTGATAAAAAAGAGAGATTAATCAACATATACCAAACTCAATTAACATTGAGGAGCTAAAATTTGAGAGCTAATTTTTTTAAAAACTACTCGTGCGATTTTTACAAAACTTGATAGTTTGGCGTAATTTGAGTTGTAGAATTGAAATATGGAAAATAATTGGTATGTTATTTCAGCAAACGTCCGATTTTGTGCCAAAATACTGATATTAGAACAATGCTACATATAAATCTAATACATATCCTAAGCCTCACTTTCGAGGCAGGAAAAACGCAAGTTGAATTTCGTCAATCGGCCCAGTACAACCGGAGATATAGAACTGTCCCCATTTTTTTGCGCAGTGTACCATACATACTCTAAAAGAGTCGGCCCTTGTCAACTTGCAGGCCACAGATTGTGCTTAACTCTTGTCGGGTAAATCTGAATCAGGCAAACTCTGTGTGGTTGTACATTTCTAGCTTCAAATTCTGAGATTAAAAATGTTTTCATTCTACGTTTTGTTTCGTTGTAGAAGAAGAAGTATTAAAATGTATGTGGCAAAGAAGTGCTACTCTACGCTAACTTTATCTATTTTTATAATATAATGTTTAATATATATATACAAGTGGCAGTTACAGTTAACGTCAGCTATTATAATCACAAGTATTAGTTTTGTGTAAATGAAGGAAATACTAAAATATTAAATACTCACTCCTTCTATTTCCTTTGTTTTACCCCTGCAAGTTAATCCTTCTGCACATGGGCACCCGAATAGATGTTTTCCACCAAAATCATCTGTGTTATCACACCGTTTTCCTAAAAGTAGAGTAATATTTTTCATTTTTTTATTTATGGAACTTAAGATTAGAATATAGGGGTAAGTACTTTGAAAACACTTCACAAACTAAACGTGTTACAGAAAAGCGGTTGGATTACGTTAGGTTACAACCCAAACAACATGCCTTCATAGTTATTCGTATATTCTTGAGGAAAAGACGCATGAGACATTTATATATCCGAACGTATACGTATATTTTTGGAACTACAAAAAACATGTGAGGGCTATTTGCTTCAAAAGGAGGTCGTTTTGATAGGGTAACTTCTAAGACAATCAGAATTGCATCAACATTGCACATGAAAAAATTAAAACCTGATGCTGCCAGCTCGTTCTTACGCACTTGAAGTCTTCTTTTTATGACAACTGTTTTAATTTGAATCTCGTACCTTGTTTAAAGTAAAATACTACAAGAACGCTCACTCACATGGGTATGGCATCAGAAAAGTAGAAAGAGAAAACCCTGATAAGTAAACTTTTACTATTAACTGTTACTATATAAGAAATTTATTTATTTTTTCTCTTTGGTAGAGATATAGCTTTAATATGTGTAACAAAGGTGAAAACATTAATAATGTATTTAATTATAATAAGTCAGTTGTGAATTTTTTATGATGACTGAAGTCATGCAATCTGGTTATTAACTCCTAAATCCTCAGCTGTTAATTTAATTTAACTTGTAAGTCGACATCAAAGATCTAAAATCTTGCCATCTTTGATAGTTGTAGTATACAGGAAAATATTAATTTATAATATCATATTTTGTGAAACCAAGATGAGGAAAGAAGCATCCAGTAGATATGTTAGTGCAGAGTTGGATATTCAAAAACATTTTTCAGTTTTTAGAAGAATCTTTCTTCGTCTCAAATAAAAGTTACTGATTCTCTAAGGAACAATTAATTTTGAAACTGTAAACACATAACACGTAAGAGTTAAGAATCAAGTAATGTCGGAAAGCTACTTTTAGAGAGAATTTCTCAAAGAAAAAAAGCATTTTGTTCTAACCTCGTAATATCCTAGCTAATTTAGCAGTCCTTCAGAGCTAAAATATCGAACAACTATTCAGGAAACAGTCCAAACAAGGGTTAAATTTATTCTTTATTCCAATTCAAAATAACAGACAGAGGGAACAGCCGAAAGTGTACAGAATTAACTAACAGAATTGACCCTTATTTAAGATCGCCGGCAAATACTAGCAGGCACATAGCATTCTGCAGGGCAGACATCATACTGCAAGGGCTTGTTCCCGGTCAGTAGTCCTCCTTAGCAGTGTAAGAGTAAAACAAAAGTAGTAAGATTAGACTTTTAGCAACAGCGCGACAGGAAGGCAGAACGCGCTTTCCTAACGCTGTTCTAGTGAAGTGACCGAGACTTCAACTTATATATGTTACGGTGAAAGACCGAAATCTGGAGAATGTCGAATTTCACCGGTGAATGTCAACATTCACATTGTTTCTTGGTGTATGTCCGAAATATTTTCCAAATACTCTTACTTCTGACTTACACCGGTCAATGTCGACATTCACCATGTACTAATGGTGAATGTTGAACATATAACAATATTATATTTTCTTCTCCGTAATTCAGTCGCGAATAAACGCACTTGAGACTTGAAATAAGAACATGAGAACCTAAAACACACAATACATTCAAAATGAGAAAGGAAAATAATAGAAGTTAAAAACTTACTTAATTATACAGTACGTTCTAAATGAGAATATAAAATAACAGTAATAAAAAACTTACTAAATTATGTGATTCAAATCTTATTTATTGCAACAACTTAAACTATTATAGCACTTTATGACCTCTCTTTTCGACATACACCAGAGCATGTCTGTGATTGTCGACATACACCGGTGAGGGTCCGAATATACAAGAATGTAGTGCAATATTCGATCTTTCACCAACGTATTTGGTGAATGTTAACATTCTCCGTTGAAAGTCGACATTCTCCAATTTCGGTCTTTCACGGTAACATATACACTGAAGTGCCACTGAACTCGGGATAGCAAGTAAATAACGAGCTAGGCCTCTTCTGGCCTTGATAATGGTTGCCACGCGACGGGGGATAGATTAAATAAGTTTGCTGAAGCATTCTATGGGAATGGCTTGCCAAACATCAGATACATCTGTCCTAGGTAGCCATTTTATGATACAGAAGTCAGAGTAATGCTTCCTCAACCAGGAAATAACCAGCCGGGACCAGTGACAGGTGCAGTTATCTTGTTAGAATACTCCATTTTCTTGTGAATGACAGGACAACATAAATGGATGAAGATGGTCGCCCAGTAATACTATGTACCGAATCATATTGAGAGAGGTTGGTATAAGTACCAAAGATCCCAAACAATGCCAAGAAAAAACACCCCAAAACAATGTTTGAGCCGCCATAGCCATGTACAGTTGCAATTTGACATGCAGTATCCATGACTTTATGAGCCTGACGCCATATTCTCAACCTCCCATCGGTGTTAAGTAGTCGAAATCGAGATTCATTACTCCATGCTCCTCGGTTCCAGTCCTCTAGAGTCCATTCGCTGTGTTAAGATGCAAGACGGGCAGCTCGAAAGCATGCATTGATCAATGGCAATCTGAGCTAATGTTTGGCTTCGCTGGCTATGTACAATACGGCTGAGACGTCTCACACCACACTCATTCAAGGCTAATTATCTTTTGCAATTTGCGCGATCGCTAGTTTTTTCCCCCACCATCCGTCCATTACTCTTGACACTGTCGGCCTTGAAAATTCTTAGCCCTCTGAAGATTTCGGAAACTGAATGGCCCATGCATCGAGCGACTACTATCTGTCCGCGATCGAAGGTATCTAAATCAGAAGTTTTACCCATACTGCCAATCGAAACGATTTACAACAACCATAGTAATAGCTATATAAGTAGTTACCACAAAGCACTCATGTGAGTATATCCGACGCAGCACTACAAAATTTGTATAGCCATGTCCATCCTTAATTCAAGGGCACTTCAGTGAACTGGTTTTCACCTCACTGGCATTAAACGTAATCCTAAAAATTCAATCTTGTAGGGAGACATAGATGGAAAATGAGAAACCAAAGGAAAGGTTGGTTTCAAAATAAAAATAACTGCTAGATAATTCAAATAAACACTACAACCTTCATTCAAGATTACTGTCGGAAAATCCTAAATTCAAAAATGGATTATAAGAATGTTTATTCGATACTGAAAACAGCAGACCGAACAAATCGAGGCTGCATAGTAGTTCTCCCGATTTAATGCTTCTATAACTTTTTTCCTGTGGGATTGTTTAAAAGGGAATGTATGTAAAGATAATCTTAAATTTGTAGAAAACATACAGAACAACATAATGCTTGCAGTTCAGGAGTTCCACTTGCACAACTGTGTAAAAATATATATGTTTTGCTGGCAGCGAAAGATATTTACTGCAAACCAAAACGTATGCCATCGTTATTCTCTTCATTTAATTCAATAACTTACCTTCAGATAGGTATCTAATAGTTTCACTAGTATAAAGCAATATTCTTATATTTCATTAAGAATTGACTCATTTATTTGAGTCAATTCTTAATTTACTCCGCGAATCACAGTTTAATTATTATAGAAGACTCCCGATCTAAAAACAGAGAAATATGGTGATGACATTATACCCCTTTTTTCGCGATGCGTAGGAAGCAAATCTATAAGTTTAGTTTAGGACTTAGTTTCATTATTTTATTTTAAATAAAAATAGATTTTGTACAGCTAAAATTAATTTCATATTTTAATTTGTTTATGTGCATTTTTTGTTTATTTTAGGCAACCTAAAAAATTATTTTATTCTTTAACTGTATAACCTTTCTTAAAATCAAGTAGGATAAATTTAAAGAAAAAAAAATTCTTCATTCTCATTACATTAATGCATATTTGACTTCCATAAACGATACTGTGCAGTTATCCGGGTTTCCTGAGTATTCATATGGGTTATGGTCTCGTTAGTCCAAATGATTGGAACTCACAAATTAATATAAGACAGAAGGACTCTTCCATCACGCAGCATGATTAATTGTTATAAATTCAATACTTATAAATGCAGTTCGATATTACCTATGGTACTCAGCAGTAATGATCACGGCAAACTAAAAACAATATCTGTGCTCTTAGGTCTATTACAGAAATCCTTAGATCTGTTACAGAACACAATGTCGTTAAATCTAAAGGCATATGAAAACATCTCAATGGTAAAGTCTGCGATAAAATTGACAACCTTCTGCATTTATATTCATCATTTTGAAGACCATTTCATAAGGAGTTCAAAACTTCTTACATATTTAAAACAGCAACATTAATTTAAAATTATTCTTCAAAATATATTCTTGGAAAAAATAGAGCATATTGTTCCAAAATCTTTATACCAAACTCTGTGCGAAATTGAAATTAATAATGTTTTATTATAAATGTAATTGCTGCAGAATTGTGATGCGGAGAAAATATAAAAAGTGTTCTGAAAATATTTAAATTTGAAAACGTAAAATGATACAGAAAGCTGATTTCTTGTTTGAGAAAATCAGTTAAAGATAATCATCAGCATCTCGAAAGATAACAAATACATCCCTTTATTTACATATTCAAGAATAAGCTTATCTTAATTATTAGATTTTTTAAGACAAATTAATAGATTTCAAAAATAAATAAAACATAATTTTTCTAACTTATATATTTAATACTTAATTTTTCTAATTATAATAGCAAATATTAATATTTCCCAGAAGTTTGTTGCTAACAAATGAAGCATAATGATCTTTTGAGGACGATCATTCACATGCTATGTTATTTTCTACTTTATAGCATCGACAGGTTTAATTCACTTGAGTTCTGGTATTATTTGGGATACTTCAATTTTTCTGATTAAATTATTAAGTTACGGTTATAGTGATTGGTGACCCTGATTGCAGTAGTAACTGGCCCCGGTTCGAATCCCGGAGAAGGCATGTTGTAGCTGTCCGTCCCTTCATAGGAGGGAACGGAGGACACCTATTAGGTGCTTCCAAAATGAAATAGCCGTCACTTCCGGCCCTTGTAACGGCGCAAGGCTACTAGTCATTAAATAAAGTTTCAGGCCATTAAAAAAATGATTAAATTTTCATTAATGATCGAATCTCATTCTTCATCGAAATATGCGCACCGACAACTAACGCGGGTATTAATGATAAAAGTTTGCCGTTAAGCATAGATTTTCTTTATTAACGCTGTTGCTTTTATAATCATTTCCTCGCTAAAAAGAAAATTGTATTAGATCTTACATTCATTATCGATAATAATTACCAGTGTGTTGACATTTCAAGTATTGTTTATTTTCCTATTCATCCAAACTGCTTTGAAGAGAATTAAAAAATGAATAATGGTATTGATATTTCAAGGTTTTACTTTGATGCGCAATCAATAAACTCTTATTTTAATGCACCTTATTATTATCCTTCATTTTGCTTTGTTATTTTCGCTCCGTTTCTTGTGACTTATAATATGAATTTCTGAATACTTAGTAAAAATTATAGGTTAGCGTTTACGTACTTTTTATGCATTCTGTAAAATATAGCCTGTATTTCCCAATCTTTTTATTGTTAAAAGCTGTTTTCTCAGCTGTGAATTTATGAAACTAATATATTATTTTTACTGCTGTAAAATAAGAAGAATTTTATTGTCATCGTATTTTTAAAATGATTTTATGTTGCGGTGGGATTAATAATAGTGTATATTTATACTTTTTAATTTTGTAATCCAATAAATTTATTTTCAGTGTCATTAAAAGCATTTTTGAGACCCTTAGTATATATTTTGCCTCAACAAAGTAGAACTTCAGTTATCAGGGAAACTAACTGATATACTGAATTCCATTTATCGAGATAGTCTCTAAGATTTCTAAAGTTAAATTTGTCATTAATTTATTTACATGCTTTTAATGTTTCCATGTTTCGCGCTAATTTATTTAGTATAAAATGATAATATAGTACATATTTTTAGAATCTATGGTTTAATGTAGATAAAGTAGTCGACACGGTGACTAAAAACAGTTATAATGTGCTGCAAATACTAAAACTCGTGTTAAAAATTCAGATACTGAAAAATATATATTAGAATTACTAAATAATATGTATTAGAATTATGAATTTTAATTTTAAATCAATAAAAACATGTTAGTTTAATTTTAGTTTCCCAGAAATAGGTTACATGTTTTACATAGGTTACATTGTTCTTTAGTCAATTGAAACCTATCTGCTTGTTTTATTTTAGTCCAATAAAAGTAAAATAAGAGGATATGTTTAACTTCGGGGCTACTTAAGTAAGAATTAATTTTGTTGCTTTTTCTTTAATCCTAACCAAAACTGAGGCGTGTATTGCAACCAATATGAGTGCATACAAATATAATCTTCCCTCGTTTTCTTTCAAAAAAATATGGTATGTTTTGTATTTTGTTTCTACTTTGTTAGCACTGCAATAATAAATGTAACTTCCTTCAAAAGTCCAGTCATGGTTCCAGACAATTTCAAATGTTTGATGGAAGAGTCGCTTTATAGAATGTAATTGATAGTAATATTGCTATTTAATTATACTATTAGAAATAATGACCGTTTTTATAATAAACCGTCTTAGAAAGATAGCTTATGTTCAGAATTTCGCTTTATTGAACAAATAACCACTTAACAAAATTTCTTAAAATATTTCTCTGGGTAGCTGATTTGGACATCTGATATTCCACAGTATTAAGAATTTAAGTAATAAAAGAATGTACTTGACTATGAAGAACTAGCAAGCGACAAAAATCCATATGACAGTTCGATGTTCCTTCTTTATTCTTTCTTCATTGTATTTGATATTTTCTATTAAAAATAGCTGATATACTATTTAACTATTCCCTTGACAAGAACTTGATTTTCCTTTCTTTAACTGACCCGCCAATGCAACGAGCAGATTTCAATCAAATGAATACAGCTATTTCAAAAGTAGCATGCTTTGGCGTAATAATTTCGTATTATTATTAATTATTTTGCAGTTGTTGAACTCTAATTAAAACCAAAATCATGAATATAATTTACTAAAATTTAAAGGGGGATATTATTTTTAATCCGTTAGCTCCCGCATTTGTTATTACACCTTCTTTTAAATACTAGTATGATTCTATTGAAAAAGTAAAACATGATAGCGTAATAATAGAAATTAAGTACAGAAAATAGTTAAAAAATTCTGTATCAGTGTTTATCAGTAATGTAATTACTACAAAAATGAATTATATCCACTTCTCATAGATAACATTGATTTTTTGTTCAATTTTACTGATTATGCGTAACAAATTAAACTTTAAAATCAAAAAATATATAATAATTTTTTTTTTTTTTTTGATTTTAAAGTTTAAATAATAAGAAAAATAAAAATAAAAATTTTAAAAGAAAAATAAAAATTTTCTACAGATTTCAGTATTAATACCCGAACTTGAACCTTTCTCTTCTTAAGTTCCTTTAAATATAATATCGTTTAGCTGGATTTTTAAATCAGAAAACTACTTTCTCAAATTTTCTCAAGTTCCATCAATTTTGAGGGCGATGCTTGAGTCTGAAGAAACCTGAGAAGAAAACCTTGAAAATATGCTGAAGTATTTTCGTAAAGGTGAGGAAACTGCTGTGAAGAATATTTTAGACAATTCTCATTTTAAGCGCAAGCTATATAACCTTTAAAATTAACAGTTTTGTATTATTATTGAAAATAGCTATTACTATTGGAAGTAACATGGTAGACATTTTTGATTTTATAGAGATATTTAATTAACGCCACCCCACCCCCTCAAAAGAATTAAATTCTTGATATACGACTTTTCTACAGCGTAGCTGATGCCCATTTTAAACATCTGTTTGAAGTAAGCAAAGAAAATTCCACTCACTTTTTTTTTCCTTGAGTAATTTTTACTTAATTGTTTGTCCATATCAAATGCCTTTCCTAGTTGCCAGAAGTTGGCAGAGATGCTATCAACATTCTGCCAATCGTTTTTGCGGAATTCTGAAAGAACAGAATTTATTTATTTTGGTTTGGTTTAGCTAATTATGGCAAAGCACACTAGGGTCATCTGCCTAAGGGGGAGGGAGGCCTTCTTGAAGGAATTTCTAAGGAAAACTAGCTTGTATACACGTTACATACGGGGAAGCCACGAAAATGCCATGCAGCCAGCCCGCTCACCTGGAATTGAACCCAGTTCGGAAATACCAGGTGTTCAGCGATTTTACCATTCGGCCGCTGGGGGGCTTTATTTGTTTAGTAAAGAACCAGTTTCGTTTTGCCGTTTTGGAAAAAGACTTTCGTCGATTTCTACTGTTTTATTAGGGCCTTCGATTTTATCGAAAGCTTTGTTTATAAGCTCTGTTTGCTGTGAGTGTAAATTTTCCACAGGTAGTTATTTCACAATAGTTAAAAACTATTCCACAATAGTTTTTTATTATTCATTGAATATTATCGGTAGTGCCCATTACTCCACGTGTTTTGATAGTAGGATTCCACAAATTTGAAATTAATCAGCTGCTTGTTAATCTAAAAAAGATAAGTCCCACATTTTACTATTTTTTTTCAAAATGCAGAGAAAAATTCAGAAATAACAGTTAATTTGTATCCTTGTTTATAAGAACAAAAAGTGGCTTATCGAGAATCAGTCGGGTTTATACCAAACAAAAGCGCAGATAATATGAGTGTCTTGTTACTTCCCGCTTATCGATAACTGGCGATGAATCACACCATTTGGCAACAGTTCCACCATCGGCAGGATAATACGTAAGTACCAAAGAAAGTTTTCTTAATTTCTGTTAAATAAAATAAGGAAATAAGACATTAAAATACCTTCTCTGGTGAGTTTCTTGCAATCTCCTTTCATGTTCAAGCCAAAAGGACGTGCCAAACAGCACTCATCTGGGTTACAGTCAGAATCATTATCACACCTCCTTTTTGGCGGCTTTGGCGGCCTCCTCCCTGCTTCTACCGCCTATTGATTAATATGAAAAAATTTCGAGGAACTTTATTAAAATTTTTATTTTTTGTTATTATAATAAATTTAATCATAATTATATTATTATAGTATCAAAATGACAGAATTATAAAAATAATATGATGAAATATGGTAACTTATCCCCCCATACACATGCAAATACGCTTTAGTGGATTTTAAAACAAATATCGTCAAATAATCTGTATTTATTCTGTACAAATCTTTTCCAGAAATATATTAATAATTAAATTCAACTTATTTTCGAATGAATTACTCTAGCCTAAGGATTCTCGTAAGAATTTATGACAACCAATGTTTAACTGTTGGGTTTCAAAAAATAAGCTTCTGAGTTTTAATTCATGTTTTATTCATAGTTAGAATACTGAACCCGCAATCTGCGTGAACGGATTTTTCTTAGATAAAATTTATAGCCGTAGTCTTAATGACAAGGTACAGTCAATGACGCCAGTAAAAGGAAATATTTATTTTCAAAATGATATTCTAAAGCTTACTGGAATATTTTTATATATTTTATTCGTTTTGTTTATAACTTACACTACTTTTTTAATTAATTACATTTATTTTAAATCTTTATCTTATATCTAGACTTTAAACATCTGATGTCAAACGACACTACGCCATTTATTGTGAAATTCTTTTTTCATGTGTCATCGGTCAATACAGGATACAGTTTAGGTACTTACATTTTATCTTGTCTACCGTAATAGATGGCTAGCGTCGAAACATTAAAGTTCGCGGAGATCTCGCAGAGTTGCGTCATTTGTTTCTGCGGAATTCTGAAGAAACTGACGTCTCTTTATTTAATAATAGGCTTCATCTAGAATGCTATGAGTACAACCTGTTCGCATGTAATTGTTCCAATCTATTACTGTTTTATCGGCCATGTTCAGTTCACCATATCATGTCCATTAATAAACATTTTTTGATGGTAGGATCCCATAACATTAAAAATAATCCACTGTTTGCTGTTCTGCAGTAGGCACCAAATTTTAACATTTTTTAATGCACTGAAAAAACAGAGTAATAACATTTAATTTATATCCTTGTTCACAAAAACAAAAAGTGGTTTATCGAAAACCAGTCGGGGTTACATCAAACGAAACCGTAGATGTTATGAGTATGTTATAACGTCGCGTTTATTTATAACTGGCACGTTATCACGCTGCTTGGCGACAGTTTCGCGGTCGAAGTGATAATATGTTAGTACCATAATTATAAATTATGGAATAATTATACTCTACAAATTTTATATCCCGGATGCAAAAGATTACTGCTCTTATGTACTTATTTTTTGACAAGCAGTTTTATCTAATATTAAGAAATCTGAAGTTAAAATATTATACATATAAAAAATAATGCCGAACAGCCTAATATTAAAGATCGTATAATTATGTAATTGAAGCGAATAAGCTCTCCTTATATCCAAAGATAGTCATTCTTTCAATGGCTGGCACATCTGCCGTCTATTCAAAATTAATAAGCAGTGCACATTAGAATTTCAGTGCAGTTTGTTTTTAAAGCTATATTCACCACGCAAGCATATAGAATAAGAAATGAATCATCTGTGTAATATCTCAGATTAAGGTTTCTATAACAAGCATTTTTTGTTTTTTAATATAAAATACGAATATTATTAGAACTAATGTTATTAATGTAAAATATAGGTATTATTACTTCAGTGTACAATACAGATGATATTTTTAAACCTAAAATATAAATTTGTTAATGCCAAAATTATTTTTCATTGCAGAAAAGCTTGCGTTTAATTTTTGCTGCTGTGTATTTCATTAATAATAGAATATATAAGATTCACGTAACGAACTTTCATCTCAAATGTGCTTATTAAGATCATTGTACTTATTTAATTTTACAATCATTTTAACCATCATTGCTTATAATTAAATACTTTTCATGTCATCAGGTACGGAGGAGTTGAAACTTTTAGTATAATATTCATCAAGTGCAATAATGATCCCTAAAGGCATTTAAAAGGCATTTTCTCCCTCCTTTCCACATGCCTTTGTGGTGTAACTGGAAGCATACTCGACTGGTATTCGAAAGTTCCCGACGAGGTGCACATTTTTCACTTCTCCTGTTTCAAAATAATGACTCAACAAATTAACACCGCAATACGTAAAAGGAATGATAAATAAAGGCAAGAGAAGGTTTTATTTTATTTTCTTGGAGCTGTGTTTAATAGAATTCTTGATTTATATCAAGTAATGCTAAAATCATATGCTTAATATTGCACTTTTTTCAAAATATGTCCCCTCAAACTCAAGTATTATGCCTCAACATTTGTTAACATTTTGATAAAGTTTTATCTCTTGCTCTTTTCTAAAACAGCATACTAAAGCTGGTTAAAAGGCACATGATTTCAAATTAAAAAAAAGCAGCTTCAGTCATCGACATAAAACTTTGTGAGAAGTTATGAAATTTCACTCATTCACTATTTATTAATGAAGCCAATTATAATTTCAAATAGAATATAAACCATAATTTTTCTTTATGCATCGATCACATTGCTTTGTTACTCCTTTTGGATCACTATTGATTACAAGACTCAAGAGCTCTTCTGTTGTTGGCATACATTGTTTCACGGACAGTAGTTTGTTTTGTTTTATTTGACTAAGGCAAAGCACTGGAGGGCTATCTGTGGAGTGATGCCTCCGTGGACGACTATTTAAGGAAAACTGACTTGTATAAGCGTTACACACGGGGAAAACTACGAAACCGCCCATGCAGCTAGCCCGTTCAACGGGATTTAAACCTCGGACCGAACTACCAGTATTCAGCGAATTTATCTATCAGCTGCTTTTGGACCCTTCTATGGATAGTAATTGCTATGTAATTTGATAGGAGCGGAAATATAAATTCTCCCTACAATACTCATGTTTTGAATGTTTGTCTCATTTATATCAGAAATAAAATTTTCTGTTCTCTCTTGAGGCCTTTTTTTAAGATATTGTCTTAAAACTCGGTGTGTAACAAACATTTCTCAAAGTATTTTGCTATCTCCGAAAATAAATTACAGAATCAATGTGAATCCTGAGAAAAAAGACATGTGTGTTTGTTTTTAATTTACAAATTTACAGCGCTTTTCAAGAGACACTTGGAAAGGAAATTTTAAATGTTTGTAGAACAATTCAAGGTATAGATGTTACTTTTTATTTTATGGAAAATAGTCAACTTCAAAAGTGCTTTTGTAATTGCTGATAACTTTCAGACGTGCATTTTCTTTCCTGTAATAAAATTGCATTTATAATAGGCACGTAATGTCTTTATTTTCACGAAATTTGTGAATGAAGTCAAAAGTTGGATTCAGATTGTAACGAAACATTTAACATTCATATAGAAAAATAAAACGTCTCAAAGGATAGCTTCATAAGTAATCAGAAAAGCTGAAAAAAGTGAGTAATTTTTGCTTACCAATACAATAGCAAGAAACGCAACGATCGCCAAATATTTCATGGTGAATAGGAAGAAAATTTTGCCATCACATTCCCTTTTATATGCTTATCTTAAATAACCTGTAGTGTACTTGTGTGATAAAATGAGAAAACTGACATCTGACGACGGGTTAGATAAATTTATCGACAAGCTAACTTTATTGAAAAATGCCCTGTTTTGTTTCAGAATTGCAGGTCTTGTGTAAAGTTACATAACAGTGCTTAACAAATTGTAAAATCTTTTTAATTTTTTTTCATTTTACTTTAAATTTTAATAACTGTGTAATGTTCTAGCTAAATTCGAGTTATCTGACTGTCAGGTCTGTAAAGTGACTATTCGCTAAGTTTTGTTGGGTCAATAATAACAACAGAAGAAGAGTTAAAAGACCCTTTTATTTTAACTCGAATATATTCACAGTTGGCCCCGCTCGGGCATAAAAATAGCCAGCACTCATGACTTCAACTTAAAGGTAGAAACGTAAAACTCAGCTAACTCTAAGGTGAGAATCAGCCTAAGCTGCACAGATAGATTTAACGTGTAGATGATGCTTTAGCTAATATCACCGACGTACAGGAAATTTATATGCACGGCCGTAAAATAACAAGCCTTAACTAGTGTCGAAACAACGGGGCCGAAAGGCAACGCTCTTCTGAAGTAGTTCAAACCTCAGTTTAATTACTAGTTTCTACCCCTACTTTGCATAAAACGTGAAAATGAACACTCATTCTGGCAAGCAAAGCATGGGTAGGAAATGAAAGCATAGAGGAAAGGCTATTTCTAAAAATAAGCTTAACTGTTAGAAAAGTAAAAATAAAACCCTACAACTGTATAATACAAGTATCTTAAAATTAAAAATAAATTATATATGTTGAATCATTTCTTTTAGCTTCTCCTGTGAGATTTATAGTAGTAGTTGTTTTTCAAGTTAAAATAAAGAGTCTAAAATTATTTTTAGGTTTTTGTTATGTTTTTTTTTTCCAAAGAGATTGCATAGCTAAATATTAGGCTTAGTAGATTCGAGTTTAAAAATGAATAAAATAGGCTATGCTTTTCAAATCACAGCAACTTTTACCGAACGGCATCTTTCAATAAAAATAAACAAAATTTAAATTTTACAGGTCCCCTTAGCATCTTGATACATACTGTACTAATGAAGTTTTTGGGGAAAAAACTAAATTGGTCCCATATTAGATAGAAATAGGTTAAATTAGATTATTGCAAATCACTCTACGGCTGTCTGCCTAACAGGAGAGATGCTTTTGTGGAGAAGATATTTTTCAAAAAAAAAACTAGTTTGCATTCAACTTAAACGTAATAAATTCGTGGGGCATTGCGTTGTGATAAATTTGTTCTGATAAAGATTTGTAGTCTTTTGAATTACAGTATCTTAACCATACAGACATTAAAAGCACATTTGTAAATATTTGCCTTGAATTCGCTGTAATCCAATAAATCACACGAAGAATATCGATATCTAGAACAGTTCCGTTTTCAATATTTTAACAGTTCAGTTCAAGAAACGTGGAGTATGAAGTATTCGTATTATTTATAGCAATCATACATAAAAGCACACAGTAATATAGAATAACATACTCTAAATTAAAATTCAGTCAATTAATTGATACTTGAAAAGAAAAGGAGCGACCATTATCTTAATTCTCCTACGTTACAGATTTGGCTCTGAAATTTCAAATTTCCCTACAATGTCATGAATAAACGGTGTTTTCTTCATTATAATGCCGAAATGATGCTTTATAAATGGACTCCTTTTCTTTCAATATACATGTAACCCGAAATCAGATTTACCAGGATCTGGCAGAAATTTTCAGGTGTAACGGATAAGAAAGCCATCCTTCGATAAGGAATTTCACGTCCATAACCCTCAGATGTCTCAAAAAGCCTTCATAGCTATAGCAGAGCGCCCTATAAAGTCAAAAAAATAGAAACTTAAGAAAAAATTCCAGCAGTCGAACAATATGCACATATATGAAATAATTAAGGTGTTGATTTATAAAGATAATAGCAGTCATCAAGACCTGTTGAACATTTCTTTTATTGATGATATATGCAGCCCCAAATAACTAAGCGCAATCTTTTATTTCTGAAGAACTGCATCGATGCTCATCAAAAACAAAGTTCAATATTAAAAATCTGTACAGTAGCTCTTGATTTCATTACATTTAACGTAACGGTCTGTTAAGCGTCTGATTCAAAAAAAAAAAAAAAAATAAATTGTCACGGCCTTGAAACTATATCTCAACTATACTTCAGATCATTTGCCGTTGAGATGTGAACCACACAAATGCTTCTTCATTTCTTAAAACAAGTCTCTTCAATACGCGGATGAGGAAGAAGCTAAAACTTGAGGCTAAAGCTTGATGAAGAGCTGTATGAAAATTCTGAACCTTGTATGCTGGTGAGTTTTCATTCAAACGCAACACTTTTCTGCCGATATGTGGATCTTCAGCGTAGGGTGAAAATATTAGTACGAATAATAAAGAACTATTATCGTGGTATTATGTGGCTAGCAAGTATTCATCCCATTTCATGTCAAGTATTGGTACCGAAAATCTTCCCCATAAATTTATGGATTCTGAATATGTAGGATTGGGAAGATCGACAGTGTTTCAGATTCTTGCTTTCTTACTTCGGTTATGGGTCCATCGATGAAGCCATGCTGCGTCTCCTGACACTATAATAATTATGAGTAAATAAATAATTTTATTGCCGTTTTTCATGACGGATACTTATGGAGAACATTTGACGATGTCACTGTGGGGTGCAGACTTTCAACATCCCCATTTTCATTCGCGAGGGTATTTCTCCTCACTAATCCTACTCTGATAATCATATCTGGATTAATCTGACCCTCGTTTATTTTCATATTTCTCGATCCTAAACATTCATTTAATCAGTAGTCACATCCATAGTGTAGCTTAATCTATATTCTCTTCAACTGACGCTGTCTCTTTTCTAAGCATGGCAGCCCTCGTTGTGATAGCGCCTAAGAAGGTGCCGTTTCAATGCGAACTACGATCAAGCATTCATTAATATTTGTCGGTGTTATGTCATTTTTGCTCAAGAAGTCAGTCATCGGACAAGGTTTGATATTTTCAGTTTTAACAGATATTATTAACTGACAGCATTTAACAGCTTCCTCAAAAATGAAATAATAACAACTAAGATGTATGCTTTCCTTATTATACTTCTAAAGAATATGCAGTCATACCACGTGTCTGCATCCCACAGTATACATCATAGTTATTAAACGTACCTTGTAAAATGATTTAAGACATAAGTAGAGTTTAACTGATTGCTTTCAGTCTTAGCTACGACCTTAATAGAGTGATCTAACTGTTTAACTGCTGTGTTGTTTCTTATAAATCATAAATTTTTCACTAGATTTAGAATATCCCAGAATTTGGTTGACTGCGGTGTTATTGTTTATGCTTAAATTATATTTTTAAGTAATTAGTTAATGGGAAAAATTTAATAAGCTTATTTAAGCTAAGAAATTTAGCTAAACAAACTGAATATGCCATTTAAGTTACTCGCGCTTTGTTGCAATCGTAAGTAATCGTTCAAAGTGTTCAGCTAAGTTTCCATTATAGTCATAAACAAATATGAAAATTTATGCAGTGTGTTGTCAGTTACAGTTTACGGTGCCTTTTTAGTTTTACCGGTATAAGATTTAAATTAATTTTTTTAAATTTCAGATCATGTGTGGTTTAGCTTCACACCTCAGACAATTTTATACCTCCCGTTCTATTGGGCCGGTTGACAAAATTTACCTTAAGTTTTTTATGTCTCGAAAGTGAGACTTAGGATATATAATAGATTTATATATAGCATTGTTCTAATATAGATATTTTTATACAAATTCGGACTTTTTTTTAAATTATATAACACCCTTTTCTTCCTATTTTGATTCTACAACACAAATTATACCTAAATATTAAATTTTATAAAATTTTGTAAGAACCTTACAGAAAAATTTGTAAATTTACCTTAACGCAATTTTTTTAATTTTAGCCCAGAATAATTTACTTGGAGAAGTTCTTAATTTATAGTAACCTGTTTTCCTTTCCCCTTTTTTCATTGTGCGCGATGAAAAAAAGGTGCATCATGTATTCCTTCAAATAACTTTAACAAAGTGCTAAACCACATTTGGCGTTATTATCGCTTATAATAAACATGCCGAATTTCAAAACGTGCCAATATACAAATTCACGTATATCTTTAGAAATTTTGAATAAAACACTCGTAACACTTTACCGACCGATAGCCTATTAATCAGCTTTTTATCGCCAATGCCTACCGACCGATCGCCTAATCGGCTTTTTTTCGCCAACGCCTACCGACCGATAGCCTATTAATCGGCTTTTTTTCGTCAACGCCTACTGACCGATAGCCTATGAATCGCTTTTTTCTCGGGGCTACCTAAATATAGCCTATCAATCGGTAGCCATGGCGATAAATAATATAAATAATATTGCCATTTTCTGTATCATCTGCATTTTATTATTAGTATTGAGGTACATTGCTCACTTGGGTTAAGTGCGTTGCTCCGTAAACGCCCACATTTTCACACCGTTTTAAAAAAAAATTACTGTTCACGATTAAGCGAAAAGAATGGTAGTGGAGCGGAACCGCTAGTGTTCGGTAAAGTGTTAATATTTTGCAGGTATGCCTAGAAATGCATCTACTTTAAGGTGATGGTAAAAGCTTTATAGATTATAATTCAAAATCGTTTTCGGAAAATTTATAAAAATTACCAAAACAGATAAATTATTTTTAAAAAATCAGGAAATAACTGCAAATCTTATTGGATTGAACCTAAATTTCGAATTGTGATAAAAGGAATCAAGTACGTTTAATAATAAAAGAGATATTAATAAATATATTCCAAAGTCAATTAACATTAATGAGCTAAAATTTTGAGAACTAGTGTTTTTTGAAAGCTACTTATACGATTTGTATAAAACATTGGCAAAATTTGAGTCAGAGAATCGAAATATGGAAAAAAATCGATGTGTCATTTCAGAAAAAGGCCGATTTCGTGTCCGAATACCTATTTTAGAACAATGCTATATACA